ATATTCATATATATATTCATCATATTCAAAGTCTATGAATATTTTCTGTTTATAGTTCAAAAATTGAAAACACGATTCTTCTCTTTCGTGTTAAAGTTTAAATTCCGTGTTGTTGCGCTCCTTAGTAGCACGTAAAATAAGTTGAACAGTGACTTCTTCAGCAATAAAATACAATATTGAAGCTAAACTGGTGAAATAATCGGCAATATATTTAAAGTAAACAAGTGAACAATATTTTTAAAACCAGTTGCGTTCAAGGAAGTTTGGCAAGTGAGTGAGAAAGTAGCATTAATAAGATATTAACTACCGTAATAAAAATATGTTAATCTCTGTGTAACCATTAAATTAAACCAAGAAAGATTGTTAATGAACATTTAGAGATTTATACATTTTAGATTGGGAGCTTCAAAATTTTTTTGTAGAGGCGAATGATTAGAAAGCATATTAACGAGTAGTTCACGTTTTTTCCTCTTCTTATCTTTCCCACCTGATGAAAATATACCTACATTTAAAATTTTATTTTGAAGCAAACGCGCTTAACTGTTTCGAGTGGCATCTAAATAGATTTGATCGAGTTGATTGAGTAAATCCCAATATTTTAACATTTTTTTTAAAGTTTTGCTGAATAATCTCCCGCACTTCATTATTTGAACAAACAGAAAATAAATTTCGAATATAAAATACCTAACGTTTTTCGAGAATTGTAATAAACCTATTTTTAGCTTACTTTTCCATTTGGCGGACGAGTCACTTATCCTGAGTCCTTACTGTTTCTTTCTACTCCAAAATTATTCCTAGTAGTTTCTCTTCCAGAGAGAAAATTTGAACTGATATAATATACATGGTATTCGATTTAATAAGTTGTCTGAGCCCTAATATTTACTACATTTTAAGGTTTTAAATAAATGTATTAATTTTCTCGTGGAGATACTATGCAGGTGTCCGTAATATGTGGGTATGCTTTGAAATACATATCATACATGGTATCAAAACAACATGACATGTTCTAATTAAAAATTCCCCACAGGCCCGCCCTACCAAAATATAGGCTCTAAATGTTTCTGCTATAAATCAGTTTTTATTAAATAACTTCTGAAGTAATTGATTCCGTCTTTTTACATTTGTCTCTCTCTCGAATTAGATAATTTATTAGTTTTATGGATTTTAGTTAACGCCCCTTAAAATATCTTGTACACATTAATGCTCACATTTTAAACAACCTGTAGATATGTTAAAGACACCAAAAATTCAATTTTTAAATAGCCTTAAGTTTAAAGTGATAAAATAGACACCCATAGTTGAGAAACCGATAAAATGAATCGTTTTCCGAAAAAATGTAATTTCCATCACGAAAGTGTAGTTCGAATAAATATAATTTTTGAAGCTGATTGGCTATATTTTCAATTTCGACATGAAAACATCAGCCACCTTAACTATATATGTGTCTTTTTAGCCAAACAATCACGTTTGCATTATGTTTCTCTATTGTAGGCTCAATAGTGCCCTAACTTAGAAACGCATTTTTTTATTACAAATACAACATCGCAAAGATAAAGTTAGCGTTTATTTTGTGTATATTTCCAAAGTTTATCTATACTAATAAACAGTAAATTTTAATTGAACCCATTAATGTAATTAATTCCACACCCACCTAATTTAAAAGTTGAATTTCATTTTGGTCGTTCCCCTTTAATAATAAATATGCCATGCATTTGTCGGAAAATATTATTTAATATTGATATGAAATTAATACTTATATCATAGAATTCAATTGAAAAAATACATATCGCAACATGCACAAAAATACCTTCGGTCAAAATATATCAGAGCGTTTTATTTTAATAAAAAATCAGCAAACTTCATTGGGCTTAGTTTTTAGCGTCGGATTTATTTTGGTTAAAAATTTTCCGACCCTGATACGGAACCATTTATATCCATAAATCATGCGAAACATGGCATTGCCGCGTTATTTATATTTTTTCATCATTAAAACCATTTTAATGGAAAAAAAGCAACGACTCATGACTTATGATATTATTTTTTCAATTTAACTCAATTTATATGCATAATGCTGTTTACACGTGGGATAATGGTTGAAACCAAATTGGAATATAAATTGACCTTAAAATTGCAATGTTTATTATTATTAAGCAAAATTACTTTACTTTTATATACGCTTGAATTTTTCTCACTACATTGTTATTTTTTTATTGAACAGTTTTTGAACAATGTTTTCAAAAGTTTTAACGCCCAGTTTACGACCATTCACAGACTAATACACAACTGATGCATTAAGCAAGTGAAAAATAATGCCAAGGAAAATTATCAGAAATGCGCTTTCAATTTACGAAATACGTGGGGCAATATCTACTTTGCCTTCTAACAGTTTCAAATGTATCCCAAAAAATTGTTCGAAGACAAAAATGTTGTTTTGCTGTGAAGTTTTTGCTAACACATCCTCGAAAGCTTTTCGAAATTGTATTCTATGTTATAAAGCCATTGTGCCTACTGCAATTGTATCTGGCATTTGGGCAAAACTTCACTAAAACATGTAACTTATTCAATTCAACTTTCGAAAGCTCGCAACCAAATTTCCCGAGAATAATTTGCCTACTTTACATTTTTGATCTCCCGAACGTATAAGGGATCAAAGTCGAGTTTCAAATTTAAGTTTTTCCTGTTTGAGACGATGTAACTTTTACTGCTGACAAGTCAGAATATAACTTATTCTATTTGTTTCCTTTACGTTTGTCAAGCAATTATGTGTTAGTGAGTTAAGTTCTAAAAAATTTACAAACACACTGTCTTTTTCCAAAAAATCATTTTTTTTATCCTTAGATCTAAGTAAACGAATTATTAAGTATATTGCTTTATGAGAAACCCCTTTGAAGCCATATTTATTCAAAATAGATTTTTTTCGATAAGAAATATACCAATACTGAGTAAGTTTCGTTGAAGCATGTTTAAAATATAAAAATTGAGTGTGTACCAATGCCACTGTGAAGCAAGATTTATTCTTGATTACATTAATCTTAATTTTCTACACGATTTCAGCCACTATTTCAAAGCTTCTTAACAAATGTGGCTTGAAAAGCCAATAATGTTAGTATTCCCTAAGAAGTGAAAATAAGGGCATTTTGCTATAGTCGTAGTAGAAAATTGTGGCTTTGGGAGGGTCATGTGGAAAGAAATGTAAAACATTGAAGGCCACCATTGAACCAATCGCCAATGAAATTCAAGAATATTTTTTTAATTGTTACTTAGTTTTATTGGTATATTTATTTACTGGTTAAGTTGAAATGTGTGCTTGAGAATTTTAAAAACATATTAAGGGAAAATCTATTAAAAGGTTTTGTGGCCACTATAACCGCTGGATTCTCTACCTAAAATGTTGCCCCCAATCACTAATAAGCAGTCAGTATTCATCAGCAGCTATTAGTTATTCATCCCTTTTCTATTCACTTTTTAAAATGACCTACAGCCTCCCTTAAAAGTTGGCGGTTATTTTTATTTTCCAGAAAACGTTCTGGGTGGCATTAATAAATTTTAGTTTCCACGCTGAGCGAACTGCAGGATGAGAATGTTATTTCTAATTTGCCTTACTATAGTTCCTGTGGAGAATTTATGAATTTCTGCATGAAGATCTGCAGATGGAATTCCGTTTTTTATTTGAATAATGCTCCCGAGTCATCAACTACGTCTAATCAGCTAAAAATTTTACTTTTATTGGAAAATTTCATCATTCAAAATAAATTACATGCTTTTTCAATATTCTGTTGCATTTGAAGACGCAACATAAAAGTGATACCTACCAAGTCTAAATTGGATGGAAAATAAGTTTCAAATTGAACAGTTGAGCGTCAATTTAACTTTTTCCAATGTCGAGCCGTGGTCCCCGCCAAGTTGAGTTTCGTGGGGGGTTTTACATGCAAGAAATTGCTAAAATTGACAAGATAGGAATGTTTCGAATCGTTTAGGGGCGAAAGAATTTTACTTTCCTACAAAAATGAAAATGTCTTTGGGGATTTACTCTTGGAATGTGTCTCCATTCAAGTTCGTTCTTTGAAAACATATGTGAATTGCAAAAGGGCAAGCACTTATTCTAAGTTTATTTCGCAAAATGCTTTAGCATTTTTCACGTGTGAGTACCGTTATTTTCTAAATTTGAATATTCTGAATAGCTGGAAACAGACATTACCAAAACAACCATGCTAGCGTGCTGGAAAAGGGTATAGTTGCATCTTTTCATGGCAACGTTAATTTCCCGAAGCGCACGAAAATTACCATCTCCTTTGAATTGCTCGCTAATTGGCGTTGCTCTGCTGATATTTGCAAGAAAATGAGAAAAACGACACATTTCAGCCAAACATCGAAAATTTGCTTCGGAAGATGATTTAAATGAACAAAGTCGTTGGAAATAAAACCATAAATAAATCTTGAAGGAACTAACAATTCACTATTTATTTCACCGCCAACAATGCATTGGAGCTCTATAGGTAACAAGTCGTGTTTGTAACGCAACTTTCGGAGTCTTGACTATACTGTTCGCCAGAACTACAATTATTTAACACCACATAATAGTTCCATAGGGCCAAATAACATTCGTAATATTGATTACAAGCGGCTGCCTCCCATTTTTGAGATGCATTATTACAACTGCTTGGTCCTGTTACTGAAGCCACAGTTGTTGTGACTTCAGTTGTTGTAGCTTCAGTTGTCGTAGCTTCAGTTGTCGTAGCTTCAGTTGTTGTAGCTTCAGTTGTTACCGCTGCAGTTGTTGCAGCTGCAGTTGTTGCAGCTTCAGTTGTTGTAGCTTCAGTTGTGCAAACACAAGTAAAAGTCGTTTGCGAATCGACTTGATGGTATAGTTGCAAAAGAGCAACCTAGAAATGAAAGAAATCATATTTTATGATTCGGTTGCATACGTTTTGCAAAAATTTTGTATTAAATGTTATTTACACACGAAAACAAAAGCAACTATCATATTTCTATTGAAACATCATGTAAACAGGGTAATCGGGGTTCATGATAAAACATTTTGCGTGCAGACAGTTTCCAGTAGAAAGACATAGTGAGAAATATTGAAATATTATTTTCATATTTTTATGAAAATGTTCAAACAGATTATGAAATTTGTAATGATGTAAGTAGTTTTTATCACCACCACTAAATATTTTAAAACATTAAAAATAGTTCCACGTTTCCTGATCACTTTTAAGCGAAAATTTGTTCTTGTAGAATGACGATTTAGGCCTTCAATTCTGATATTTACAAATTAAAATTATTTTTGCATCCGTCCCGCTCGCAATATAATTTGAGTCCACAAAATCTGGTAGTTTTAGATCTGAAAAATAATTTAAACAATTATATTAAAAATGCAAATTTAAAAAAACAAACATGTTATTAGCAATGAAAAAAAGATACAGATGATACTAAATTAGATTCTCAAAATGATAACCGCCAACTTCAACACGTTTTTTAATTTTTTGAGTGGTCTAATTTATCGCCGTCAGTACTTGATGCCTATTTTGTATAATTTGTATACTACAAAATTATATTTCTTCTTTCTAACATCCTTAAATATACGTTTTATTTAAAAATTATTTTCTTATATCTACATGACACTCAATACTTTCAAATATAGAAAGCGTCTATATTTATTTTGCAAAAATGGCTACAAAAAGTTTTTTAAGTAATCAGTTATTTAACAATAACGATTTTCTCAAATGTCCATTACAAGAATTACAATAATCAGTTAGAGAGTTGCTTGAATTTTAACAAAAACTTCTAACTCTTTTCCTGACTATACATAAAAGCTTTGAGGAGTTATATGGTTCAATTACTACAATTTGTAAGCAGCTTTTTTACTATTATTAATATTTAACATAACATTCAGCTGAATACAGTTATAAATAGAATCTTGCTCGACTATTGAAAACTTATGTTTGGAAATGATATAAAAATGTTTTGCATATATTTTTTAATATATCTTATTTTTTGTATATAGTATAATACTTGCAGGCGCAACTTCCGCAAATTAACTCTTTCTGTTGTCTGTCTTCTTTTTGTTCAGCTTTAAATTGGTGTAATAAACATTCCATAAGCAAGGAAAATAAATTTATTTTTATGTACAACCGCCGGTCGCTGATTTTATCAAATTATAAATATAATGTTTGTTTTATTATAATAATATTGCCATCAGTTGAAAACTAACTATTTCTTGCAACTAAATTCTAGACAGATAGATTTTAGTAACAAATTAAATCATAATTAAAAGGTATTCTTCCAAATATAAGTGAATTATCAAATAAAAGAACGCATTTGTTTAACAATAAAAAGCATTGTGTTTCATTGGGAATGTTGAAATAAATTTATACATGATTTTCGAGCTTTCAATTTATAAAAAAGTTATATTTTAATTGCACATTTTTATCAATATATACAAATAGTTCGTTTTATTCATTACCACTTATCATCAATGAGTTTCGGAAAGCAGGACCTAAATTCACCTACAAAAAAAATACTCAAACATGTTCTTGTCTACAAGGTCCAAAAATATGTGGATAACAACGTAAATTTTGTTCTTTTAGATATTTAAGCGTCTTTAAGTTGGAAAGAATGCAAAACGTGCAGTTGATATTAATAATATCAACTGCACGTTTTGCAATTTTGGGAAATAGCCAGATATAAACTTTCAAACACCCTGTAAGACATTGAATCAATTTTCTATTTAGTGTTTCTTTTCTTGCTTTTATTTCTTCGCCCAAATTTTCCAGCAACATGCAATGCTTTTGTACTTCAAATTTGTAAATTATTAATCCCTAGTTGGTTGTAAACGACAACAAACATATTATAATTTCAATAACGGTTAAAGACCATTATAAACAAACAAATATAAATGAAAAATAATTGCAATAACTGTAGCCCCGGAAATAGCTATAATATACAAGATGTTTGATTTGCAGTATGAACGTTGTTTATATGACCAGAGAGAAATTTAGGGCAAACTTAGTTTATACTAGCAGAAATCTCTTCAAACAAACGATACTTTAAATTTCAAGCAAGCTGATAATTTGACACACTTTCAATCGAAAAATTGATCTTGAACTGTTTAAAATTAATCTACAGTACCTACATAAGTTTTCAACAAGAAAGAGTTTACAAGAAAAAATTGTCTTTCTAAAAATATCATTGTTTAGTTGCCTTTTTATGAGATAATTGTTAGAATAAACCAAAAATCGCAAATTAGATACAAATAATAAAAACTAAGAAACAGTTTATTATTTTATTCGATTTGAAAAAAAAACAAGAGATTAAACTAAGAAAAACCTAACAAATAAAATCAGTAGAATTTTCTAGAGATGTTTGGAATTAATAATATATTTACTTAGTTACCATTTTAAATCGATTTTCCGAGAAACCGAGGTTATTATATAAAAATGAAAAGACCATGGTTTCTGCCTTAGCTCTGAATTCATATAAACACTTCTAACGCTAATTATATACAATTAAACGAGTAAAATATAAAAAATGAATAATTATGGACTAACTTTGGTGGCTTTCTTTGCAAGTAAAGAAGTATATAAGTATTTTTCATGCAACATTCATCTATTTTCTTGTAATTCTAAATCCATGGTGTGAAAACTAAACATTTTCATTTTCCAGACAAGCGATAGAGCAGCACTAATGTAATTTTAAGTCATCTGCTATCGCTAAATAATCTTAGGAACTAATGGGCCGGAAATACTGATAAACAGCTCTAAATGCATAGAGAAGTTGCTTTCTCGAAATGTAAGATGCGGTTAAAAGGATAGATAGAGCAAGTAAGAGGCTTCTGTTGGATGTTTCAGTCATTCAAGATACTGATTATTACTTATGATTTTTTAAGTGAACTTAGTAGGGGACTGAACTGTGAAGTAGTAACGACCATATACAACAAAATATTTAAAATATAACGAGTGTCCAGGATTAATTATCGAAAACAGTATAAACAAACACGTGTAAACTAGGAACTCACTTCACTTTATGAATTGAAGTAGAAATATACAAATGTCTTGAAACTCAGGATTATCGCAAAAATGTTTTTCTTTCCACACGCGATGAAGAAAATGTAATTGAATAATATGGCGGAAAGGTAAATTGTAATTGTTATGTCATCGAAATGAGTAAAAGTGATTGTTTCGTTATCGAAAACAGTTTTTTCGAATGTTGTAATCTAACCATTAATTAAGGATCAGTTAAAGACTAACTGTTTTAAGTATGTGAGTGAGGATAACAAAGTTCAAAATGCGATTGATGTGTCAGAGATCGAGAAATGAACTAAAATCTTAAGGAAACGAATAATGTAAAAAACAAACATAACTGTAGAAAATAAATAACAATAGTTACAGTAAAGACACTAATCTCAGTAGCGTCGTTTTTAGTAAGATGTGTAGCCTTCGTTGTCTTTTCAGTGTCAAAAATTCAATGATGACAAAAAATTGTACTTTCAAAGACATCTAGATTAATGTAGGGTGGTTTTATATTTTATCTGATCTCTAGTTTCTTTCCAAAAAAGAATAGTTGCAACGTTTATTGCATTGAATGCGACTCTCTACATATTATTATCTATAAATAATCAGAAACAGGAACCGTAAAATAATACATATTTTTTTATATGATTATCATTTTGAGCAATGGAAAATCTTTAAAAAAAATATGTTAAATTCATTAATGTTATAATGTTTCCTTTTTTGGCTCAATTTTTTCGCTTCAATAACAATAATGTTTTTAATAGTTCCATTTTTAGTTTAGTTTGCTTGCTTTGTCTTTTTAGGAAATAAAATTACCAAAAATAACGTCAAAGAAATATTATTAAAAATTGCAAAATGTAATAACATATGGAGTATCCGATTTAAACAAACCTGAACGTGTATTAATCACGCTTGTTTGTATTAAAAATCAATTAAATTCAAATACCAAAACCAAATATTTATTAATTTCATATATAAAATAATAACGAATAGCTTAAAATTGAGTAAAGTAAAAATACTATTTATTTAATTATTTATTGCAATTGGAAGATTTGCTCGCAATTTGTAAATTTGTAGGATGAATTAATTATATTTAGTATATCTACTTTATAACTATCTTTTTAACACTACATAGGAATATTTTACTCTGAAATAAAATTTTGAAACTATTTAAACTATTTTGAAATATTTTGACTAGCTGATATTGACCGATATTACTAGATAAGTTTTCTCTTTTGCATTTACTGTAATTATTTTCAGTCGTTATTCTCGATATTACTAAAGTAATTTAAGAACGTTTTGCAAAGACTTACTTCAGATTAAAGATTTAATCAATAATGTCCACAATCTACAGCGTAAAGTGATAAAGCCATACTGTCCAGTGAGTTAAATTGTTAATTTAAATGCATATCGCTATGCAGGCCTTTTATAGTTAAAATATAAAAATACACTTAAAATCAACCATGTGAATCGCCTGCTGAGTTGGGCCCTAAAGCTCAGTAAGTTCAATTTCTATTTAATCGATTTAAATATTACTTACCAAAATACTGAAAACGATCACTACAGCCCTCATGATTGGAAATAATATTGTTAGTTTAACGTTTGGTTTGCGTTAAATACTAAATTTCAATGCGAATAACAACAAGGATGATTTATTGACCATTTAGTATATGTACAATAGCTTAATAATAGTTAAAGCTTTTAATAATGTATTATGTGGTGTTACTTAAAATGTGAATATAGAACAATAGAAGCTTAGTAACATACTGGAAATAGTAGCAAATTTTTCATGTGATTTGCTAAGGTTTAATTTGACTAAATCGGGTTAAATAATTAATCAAAATTTAAAGACTAATTTATGATCAATTACATAAAACTTTAAAATAATTATGGAAAATTAACGACTGTGAGACTAGTGCAAAAAAATAACTTTTTAACTTTTATAAAATGTTTTTGATTAGAATTGCGGCGCACGCAAAAAAATGCAATTATTTATTTAAATAGAAAAACTAAATGGTTTAATTTTATATTATAAATTTTATTAATTTAATTTATATTTATTTATATTTTTGAATAACATTAAACAAACTGGTGTTTAACTATTCACTGTGTTCGATTTCTTGATTTTCAAATATCACAAAAAGTGTGAAGCACCTGATTTGTATTGTACAAAATCAGGTTTTTCTTTTTTTTAACAAAATTACATTTTCTTGAGTTTTTTTCAGGTATTTTTAAATAATTTGAAGAAATTGAATTATTGGAAAAAAATTATATATAGAATTATATATTCGATTATATACTTCTACAATATGAAATTTATTTAATTGGCTACAAGGGTTCAAGTAAGTAAATTTTGTGAGTATTGATAGCCCGCTTTTATCGAAATACTTTTAGAAAATGTAGTTTTGCAACTGATGTATAATTGCAATAAAAATAATTTGCACATTGGAATGTTCGTCTTGAATTATATTAAGTTTTTATAGTTGATAGAAAGTTATTGAGCAATAATGGAATAAAATTCAACATTTGAGTAAAATAGATTTGTAAGTATGAATCTACCGCAATGAACGTACTCTAGTCGAGCTGTTACTGTAATTAATAAGAACTAAAACATTAAAGTAGATCGTAGGCATTTTATAAAAGTAAAAAATTACTACAATATTCACTTTAAGAACATGATCCAAAGAAAGCTTATTTCTATTAAACACCTAAATCACTCGTGTTATTTCTACACATTGTTAAGGAAATGTACACTTTTTTCTAAAAATACTTATTCGTATTATTTGTAAAGTTCATATATTTTAATTGTATATTAAACACGCATTAATAAGTGAGCAGAAATAGTTACGTACTTTATTTTCTTTCAGAACGGCTCAACGTATTATATGAGAAAAACTGGACCAAATTAGTCACGGAACAGCTGAAGAAATTTGAGCGGACGGTAGTTGAAACGGCCAAAAGAGACGAAACGCTCAACTTTGCCGGGCCAAAATGGACCTTTGGAGGATCTTTACTTTACACAATCACTCTTTTGACCACCATAGGTAAAATTAATTAAACAGCAATTATTTTTCATAATAAATATATCATCGACCAATAGTATTATAATAAATCAATCAGTTAAACGGTTCTAAACAGGATAAAGTTTATCTGCATGCGTTTCTATCTTTTAGAAACAGTTCAGACATTTAAGTAGACATTAAATTTAAAAAATTGTAATGAAACATGAGGTAAATGACAACAATTTTCATAATGCGAGTGTTGCATAAAACCGGATATTGAATATCTATATTTTATTATTTCTTATTTAATATGTAAACATTATTTTTTAAATATAAATTGTCAATACTAAAGTAAATCAATATTGTCTTAGGCTACGGAAGACTATCACCCAAAACAGCTCTTGGAAAAATTATCGCCATATTGTATGCCGTTATTGGGGTACCTCTCATGCTCATCCTGCTCTCAGAGTTGGGTACCGTTCTTGCTCAAAGCGTAAGAAGAGCATACGCAAAACTATGTTGCCATAAAAACAATGACACATTTTCCTGCCCTACCGTAGGCTACCATAAAGCGCCAAATTCACCTACGAAGAGCCATTATTGCAAAACCATGGACGGTGAGTTTAAAATTTACATTTTGTTTAGGCTATTTTTTGTTCGAATTCTAAACTTTATGAAATTAATAGAATAAGATTATATTTTTTTCATAATGAAGTTGATTTATATATTTTCGTTTATTCTCAATATTTGGTTTTAATCAGGTGCCGTCGTTTTTTGCAAATTGTTTGTTTTATTTGATTTCTTACTGCTTCCAAATCTGATTATTTTATAATTTCACCATCATGTATGTGTAGGACTACTGATTTTCTTGTGTATTTGAAAAGTTTTCTTCTATTTTACAGCGGAAAGTAATGAACTAAACGAAATACCGTCAATCTATGTGACGAGTACTTTATTAACAGAAGAAATAGTGTAAGAAGACGGGGAGACTTAAATACTTTTCGAAAATACTTAAATAAAATCGAGGAAGCGTAAATAAGTGTTAGTGTAAAAGTGAAACAGGTATAGCATACCGAGACCTGTTTGCAAAAACCTGTTTTTAAGTTGTTATTCCTACTCTAAGGCAATAAAGAATGGCGAGCTATTGGGAAGATCTCTATAAAGAGTGATGTATTAAGTCATAGTGCAACTGTTTAAAATGGGAAAAAAATTATTTATTAAAAAAACCAAACAAAGCAAATGATGAAAATTGAATAGGAAAATTACATACATATGCTTAATTGGATTATTTTAACAAAACCGCGCCCTCTGACAGTTTGATTATTAATGGAAATAATTAATTTGAAAAGGGTTTGAACAGATCACCAAAATCATTTCCGATAAATTTGAATATCTAAATTAGGAACATTCACTCCAGAGGTCTCTCATCGCTTACAGTTAAATACCCTCAAGAATCTCTGCATTGGATGAAATACAAAAAATACAGGATTGTTTGAGCAATTTTAAAATGGTGTTTGTAGTTTTGTTTTTCTAATTTTATTGATTTTTTTTACTCTCTTAGACATTCGCCTATTTACTTGGCACTCTCCTACTTACCACACAGTTTTCTCCATTCTCTCTTTTTTTCTCGCAACTAGTCAAACAATGGAATGTAAACTGTTGGTACTTCACATTAAACCGTATTGTTTTCTATACATAGACTTATTCAAATTAGCAATTCAGCGGATAAACTTGATCGGGAATCTAATTAAAGTAAAAGTTGTAATCACCACACATCACAAACTTTACCAGAATAAATATTTAAAAAATTAAATAAATATAATAAATGATATAAAGGCGAGAAAGGCTTTACATGACAGTTAAAGTACTTTAGGTATATGTGCTGGCCGACAAGAATGTAATTTAAAGGAAGAGATTTTAAACATTTGGATGCCGATCCTTAACTTTGATTCAGATAAACATTTCTTTTCACATTTTAGTCATTTTTTAGTACATTTTACACATGAGCACTCAGTGAATGTCTTGTCGGAAAATTATATTGATAAACTTTTTTCCTGCATCTTTTCATGTTAGTACTTCAGTTTCTGAGAGAATTCAAATGGTTGTATTTATTGTTATCTGTTAAAGGGACACATGTACAATCCTTATACAATCGCCAAAAATATTCTCTAGGGTTTCACGTATTTGATTTGTATTTGATCAAGTATTTGAAAACAATCATCCAGTTACCTTTCTTCAGTTTCATCAAAATGTATAGAAAGGAAAACTAGTAGAGTTTCAGTCAAACTTTTTCGATATTTTGAACATAGGAGCTAATTTTCCTTATGTTCAGATTCCCTCTACATGAAAATGTATTTGCAATCTTGCAATTTTTTGTTATTAGATTCAGCCTCGATCCAGCTAGCATCCACACACAGCACTCCAAATCATGTGAGTTTCCAAGCAAACCACACTAATCATTGCGTGGAACGACATGAAGTTCCGAAACGTGCCATTTTGGCCACTGTAAGAGCGAATCATACCAGAGGTAGAGGCAGACATGGACCTGTGCGCCAAATATTGGCAGGTAAGCATTATTTTTGTATTTAGAAAGTTCGCATGAACACATTTTCGTTTCAGATCCAAACTGTCCCACACACCGGCACAATCACGGAAGTCCATTGAGAAATTCTTCCATAGTTGGCATTTCGACCGATATTGAGCTGGATGAGGTGGAGGAAAGTGATGAAAATGATCAAGGGTATGTGAAATAGGGACCAGATAGATATGAACTTGAAGATTTTTTTTAGTCCCGGATTAAAAAATATCACAAACCTTTCTTAATTTTTTTCATTATAACTTATAATTAATGGTCCAAAGTTTTCTAAATAAGAACGCAGGGTGAAATGAATATAATAAACTTGGTATAACATTTAAGCAAAATTTCGACAATCCCTAATTTTCTCTGTTTAACTAAGCCTGAATAGGCATACTTACACGAAAAAGTGACAAATAGCCGATACAAATACCAGCTCCCCTTTAACAAAATAGAAGGATCAAACTTTATTTGACCAGTTAACACGTTAATCTATTAAAATAGTAGGTACTAAAAATTGAAAATTGTATTATTAATTTTGTCGGCACTTTTTCTAACGTGGAAAAACTGTAGTCAATTTCAAATAATTTTCCTTTAAGTTGTAAAGGTTTATTAGCTTGAATTAGTTTAAAATAGTTGATAATTTATTGATTTTCAAAACTTTTGCTCAGCTTGTGCGTTTAGGAAACGGAAAAGAGCATTCACTAGAAATAGAATGTGTACTTGCTACAATTTTTTATTTGAAAAATATATTTTAAAATAGAAATCGAATAATAATAAATAAGGAAAATTTGAACGTTTTTTTTCCAATTAAAACGTAAATATCGTTGTTGAAATGAGATTATATCTTAAAAAGCTACTAAAAATAAATCTCAAAAGTCCACTACCTTCAAAATGTATATTTTATGGGTAATTAATTATTGTTAGGTAATTGTAATTGTAAAATTGACCCTTATGCGGGCGAAACCTACTTTTGTTATTGTGAAAATGTTTGTTATCAGCATCCAAAGTGTTGAAGATTGTTATCTGATGAATCCCGCGATTTTAAATCAGTTTCTCTTATCCCAAACAAAACCAAGGTGTTTTCCAATCAATAACATCCTTAGCAGTTTAACTATAAAATCCGATTATCAAACACTTGCTTGTTCTACACGTAAAAGTGAAAAATCAAATATCATGAATGAAAATAAAATGTTACTTGAGCTCGAAATATTTAATCTGCAACTTTGAAGGTATTTTTAAAGACTGCATCTAGCAGCAGTTAGTAATAAGACAGACTCTTAAAAAAAGTATTTTTAAAGTCTTGTTTAAAGTCAATTTCAGATTTAAATATACATTGAACAGTTTGCCTAAAATATGTATAAAAACCTGAAATGTTAGGGACTATAAGTAAAAGAATAGTGATATTACTTCGGTAATATGGTATCTTTCTTTGGAAATCATCTTACGCTCAGATACTTTAAGAAGCTTTTTATTTGATTTTTGGTAATCATATTTTAATGGCAATTTTGTTAACTATGTACCTACATTCTAAACGAATCCAATGTTGTCTTTTTATTTATTAGATATGTGCTCTACATATTAAAAATCAAGTTTCATAACAAGGAAGCCCAATGTTTCAATAGTATAAAACGGGTAAATCAACTCACTTACAAAATATCTATTTTACATTTTTTATTCATTCAAAATAAATCATCAATCCGGCTAATTCGCATATGGTGATCCTGCAGTCCTAACAGCTTTCTCGTCAAATACTCGTCAGACTGTTTAATTGCTTCAAGTATTACCAGCTTTCCTATGATGTAAATGAATCGGTAAGTTCGAAAACCGTACAAGTGCCTTAACTTTTTTAACTAAAATGGTAGGTACCCATTATGTTTTTGTCCGAAAATTTATTGCTATGAATAAAACCCCAAATCAAGAGGACGGCGACTTTTCTGTGCATACTAATACTCCAATTCAAAATTAATTCCTGGGTTTTAGTCATTTATTGTCTCTATTTATCAATTAAAATACGTTTCGGTGTATTTTTCCACCATCATCAGTTTTTATGGGTAGCGTTTTGCAGGTAGCGTCAGCATTTTGAAGGCATCAAAAAAATGTATGCCAAGGCTTAAAGCAGCAACAACGCTACCCATAAAAACTGATGATGGTGGAAAAATACACCGAAACGTATTTTAATTGATAAATAGAGACAATAAATGACTAAAACCCAGGAATTAATTTTGAATTGGAATTGAAACACAGTCAGGAAAGTATATACATACTAATACTATTAAATACATGGTTTCAAAGTTTATAGGTTTTTATTCAGTATCTCAAAATAACTTTTTAGGACTTGTATGGTTTTCGAACTCAGCGATTCAATTATTTTCTTGTATGTGTACTTATATCGTTACTTTACATTTACTTCCAATGCCAAATTGAATTTTTGTTGGCAACTTTTTACACAGATTTGTTTCAGGCAATGTGCTCAGCACGACACACCATCTCGAATTCCTTTAATCTGGAGACCTCCGGACAAAAACGGTACCTCTCCTCTGCCTGTAGCAGAAGAAATCAGCACATCATCCCACCTACCACCAGTGCCTGTTTTCCTCGTAGTGTTTATCTTTTTTTCGTATATAGGCATCGGGGCGGCGTGTTTTGCTAACACGGATACCTGGACGTTTCTGGACGCAGTGTACTTTTGCTTTCTTGCCCTCACCACCATTGGTGTGGGAGACAAACTACCTACCATTCATCAAAACGATGTCGAAGGACAGTTACATATTTTTGCTTGTTGTATCTATATTTTCATGGGACTGGTTGTACTGGCTATGTGTTTCAGTTTGGTTCAAGAGGAATTGACAATAAAATGTAGGCAGCTTGCCAATAGTTTGGGGTTCGGTAGGGAGTAGTAATCTCCATTTTACTGTGATCTCGTATCGACTTGAATACGAAACATATTAAATTGATCGTATCTGTAAATAGAAAAATGTGTTTTATTTATATATGTTCCCTCATATAACAGGATTCCCACAGACCTAATAAAGTATATTTCAGCCTGATTCAATTATTCTGCATAAAAGAATCTTTAAAGCAAAGAAAATAAATGTACATTCATATAATATATACCTATGTACAAGTAGATGACTACTTCTATAGGATGCTTGTGCTGCCTGGGTATCCTGAGGATAAGCCTAGACATGTAATTACTATGTACAGGGTTATTGATTGAACTTTGGCCACCCCGTTTTTGCATCTAACTTGAAATTTAGAGAAAAATATTAAATACGAAAGTTGTAGATATTAACGTCTAGTTTATTTTAAGATAATACCAATTGATACAGGGTGTCTCAATTTCAAGTGGCAGACCAAACTTACGTTTTTTTAAATGGAATGCCGCACTTTCTATTGCATATTCGAACTATTCGCACAATTCTAGGCCCACTCGATATAAATGTTCTATAATGATTTTCAACTGTTTTTGAGTTAATAACCAATATTGATTGAACTTTGGCCACCCCGTTTTTGCATCTAATTTGAAATTGAGAGAAAAAGCATACAATACATACATACAATATATCATACAATATAGTTATTCAATACAGAAGTTGTAGATACGAACGTCTAGTTTATTTTGAGATAATACCTTACTTAATACATTTTTTTAAACAGAATTTAAACAGAACACTTTTTATTTCAAAATCGAACTATACGCAAAATTCCATTGATCTTCAACTGTTTTTGAGTTAATAACCATTTAAATATTCGGGCATTCCATTTATAAAAAATTGAGTTTGATCAGGCACTTGAATTTGAGACACCCTGTAGCAATTGTTATTAACTTAAAATAAACTAGATGTCAAAATCTACAACTTTTATATATGATATTTTGCTGTAAATTTCAAATTAGCTGCAAAAACGGGGTGGCCAAAGTTCGATCAATATCGTTAATTAACTCAAAAACAGTTGAAAATCGCTATAGAACATTTATATGGAATGGCCATAGAATTTTAGAAATAGCTCGAATATCCAATAAAAAGTACGGCCTTCCATTTAAAAAAGGGCAATTTGGTCTGCCAATTTGAGACACCCTGTATCAATTTGTATTATATTAAAATAAACTATCTTTTCTCGAAATTTCAATTTAGATGCATAAACGAGGTAGCCAAAGTTCAATCAAAATTGATTATTAACTCAAAAACAGTTGAAAATCATTATAGAACATTTATATCGAGTAGGCCTAGAATCGTGCGAATAGTTCGAGTACGCAATAAAAAGTACGGCATTCCATTTAAAAAAAGTTAAGTTGGGTCTGCCACTTGAATTTGAGACACCCTGTATCAATTGTCATTATCTTAAAATAAACTAGACGTTAGTATCTACAACTTTTGTATTTAAGATTTTTCTCTAAATTTAAAAAATAACCCTGTACTATGTATTATGTGTTACACTTAATTAAATTAAATTAAATTAAATAAACTCAAAATATTAATAATTTTATTTACAGTTATTAATTTACAGGGTAATAAAGCCACAAAAATGCAAAAAATCGCGGTTGCGAAGGAATTACCGCCATTAAACTCTATTACGAAATTAAACAATTAGGTAAAATTATATACAAACAATATATGGTTGCCAAATAAACAACTACTTCAATAGAACAAGCAATTCAGATCACACTTTTCACAAGAATCAACATCGGACAGTAGATGACTATCATTTTTCTGTTAATTTTGTATCGTTTGAACACCCTGTACATCACCGGTTTCTCAAAACAAAGCATTATTTGAATTATATTGCATGCTTTAAACAATATAACATTTAAATATAAATGAGTTATTTTGCCATTGATTCTTGAAGAAACAGACGAATACTAACTTAAAAAAATAAAACAAATATTGTTGCCCTTATTAAATATTTAAATGTTAGGTGCTTGCCGCCACGTTGTCACATGTAGCGGCAAGTAGTCAGTAAATGATCATTCGCATTCCACTTCCGGTTGACAACTGTCATTTAAAAATCACATAACCTAATAGAAAAACACAGTTTCTCAAAAATACACACAAGATAATTTGTTTAATTTTTTGCAACTGCTTACAAACAACTACTTATCAATAATAAGTACCAGACCTTTCATTTAATGGTAAAATGGATTGGAACCTAAGGTACGACATACACAGCGACAATGAAGGTGAATTGTGTAAGGCTGGTCCAACCACCCGAAATGTATTAGAAATGAACAGTGAAAATTCGATATTTCAACAAAACGATCTGTTTCCATCGGCCTTTCCATTTATGGCTGATATAAGGAGACAAGGAAAATTGTGCGACGTTGTCTTGAAGGTAATTTAACATCAAGTACATTTCATGTAGAAAAGCACTTATATAACTTCTAGTGCACCTTGAAAATCACAATACATATTATTATGTGACAACAAAATTGCATTTTAGTTCTTGTTAAGTAAACAACCAGTATTATTCAATCATTGTTGGAATTTTAAATAAACAATTAATAGCTAACATATTCATCGTTTATTTTCACGTTTTTTATTGTCTCGGTGGTAAGTGGTTGAACTCTTCTTATGTTTTCTCAGTATACTATTTACAAGTTATCTGTTAAGATGGTTTTTTGTTCAATAAACAGTGACATGTGAAAACACAAATTAGCTTGACAATTTTGCTTCCTACTGCCTCATGTATTGTACTTTCTTGAATTTTGTCTACTAAGTTTAGGTGTTCTCAAATTTTTGATGAATGCCAATTCCTTGTTACATTTAAAGACTATGAAACACGTATTACCTACAAACGTAATATTACATATTTGAAACGAATATGTGCTGAAATATTGCAGTCGGTTGTAGTGTACTAAAATTCATTTTTTAAAGAGCTTATTATTAACGTTGGTGATTAAAATTTATGAAATTGTTGGTTTTTTGCACGTGTTTATTTCAAATTAAAATTCTGTTCTCAATAATGTATTTATAAGTTCTCGCATGAAGTAGGGTCATTTGTGTGTAATGCTAAACAAAACTAGTACTAGCAGTTATTAGTAATTGTATTTTGTTAAAAGGTGGAAGGTCAGCAATTTAGTGCCCACAAAATAGTACTTGCCGCTACTATTCCATATTTTCATGCTATGTTCATGAATGATATGGTAGAGTCCCGCAACAAGGAAATTGAAATTAAATGTATTGATGCCATGTAAGTATTGATTGGATGACATATACATTTTTAAGTGCAGATTTATGTTTTTATTATCCATAAATTTAACTGGTCTTTGCATTTCAGTGCTCTAGAAGCTTTGGTCAACTTCGCTTATACCGGAAAAGTAGTGTTGGATAAGAACAATGTGCAAAGCATTATGATTGGCGCATCGTATCTACAGTTGAATAAAGTGAGGGATGCTTGTGCCAATTATTTATTACAGAGGTACGATGGAATTAACATCTTAACTTAGGAAAGAACTGAAAATTATATTTGAATTTGTATTACTTTCTAACTTTATTTTTAGAATTCACCCTCAAAACGCGTTAGGGTTTCGTCACTTTGCAGAATCGCTCGGATCATCGACTTTCGCAGACTCCGCGGAAAAGTACATAGAATGGTATTTTCATGAGGTATCACAAAATGAAGAGTACTTGAACTTATCGGTAACAGAAATTAAGGAACTGTTGATGAAGAGCGAACTCAGAGTTGACAAGTAAGTTATCTGAATTGCTGATAAATATTATTGTTTTCTGATAATTAGTGAATAATTCAAAATTTCGCTAGATATTTAGTTTCTAACGTTTTTATTATTATGATTTCATTAAGGCGAGTCATTAGTGAGCAGACCTTTTCTTCTCTAATCAAAATAATATCGAATAAGATAGATAATTGAGTAGCGAGATTTTGCGTTCGAGAGTCGTACGTACCCTGTAATTAAAATAGGGAATAAATATTTCGCATTCACGTCGTAAGCAACGGTCCGAAATTTTGTTTTTCTTATTTTCGGAAGTGTGGGATTTTTTCCGAAGCCCTGGGGTCGTTTTTGTTTAAAGTGGAACATATATTTTGTGCACACTTGTCCATGTATTAAGCAGATAGACGCAGCTTTCAAACATTTTTCAACTTAATTTTCTTTTAAGTGCACACGTAGTGCGAGTACGTAAAAAAAAGCGCAGTTGAGGTTTGTCGCATTTCCGGTCCATTTTTTCCCACAACATCTCAGCGTCGAGTTGTCGCAAGATTCAGCCGTTGTCGAAGTTTATTTTTTATTTTTTTGCGCGTCTTCTGTTACTTGTGAAGTAAGTGACAATAAATTAAAGTGAATAATTTGTAGCTAGAAGTAGTCTTCACTATTTTAAGAACGTACTACTTTAAAAGGCATATCTCTTGCGAATTCGATTTTGTGGCATCCACCAACTTGTCCAATGTTTTTCACGCTATTCACCCTGTGTCAATATATTTTTAGCGCTTGTTCTTCTACTTGGGAAAAAAGGAGAGGCGCCACATTAACGCGAATAATTTGGAGGTCAAATTAGTATTCACTATTTTAGGGTATTACCACAGTATTACTTCCCTGAATTGCGTTACTTTTTGCGGTACAAGGTTTTGGCGCATCCACCAACCTGTCCAATATACAGGAACATGTGTCAATATTTCTGGTGGTTTGGAATACTCAACCCTTTGCCGATTAGGGCGAAGAAAAGGCCTAAATTATCCAACTATTCACATGTTTCATTCTCTAATCTAAATTCAAAATTTTATGCCAGTCTATGCAGTAGCACTATTTTCCGCTAAAACTTCACTATTATGCTTATTTCTCTCAGTCCCTAATTTACCTCCTATATCTTAAGGGCAATGTACGAAGAGGCATAAACAAAAGTGAACATTCTGTAGTGTGTGTTGTGATCTTAGTGTTCTAGAACTAGTTGAACAACGTGGCATCTCTCTTGTGCATTAATCTTTATTTGGCATTCACCAATTTGTCCAATATACACGTGTAGATCCGTAACTCCCATTTCGAAAAAGTAATATTCAGAATTACCTGCACTAGTAATTCGAGCAGTGAAAGAGGAGATAACATAAGTACGCTAGAGGGTTGTATTATAATTTGATACAAAAAACAACAAAATTTGAGATTCGGCGGTATTCATTAGAAGCCACTTTCGAGGCGATAACCGCAAAAACTACCTAAAGGTTGCAACATGCGGCATAACCAACTTTTACAGCAACCTTTAATGCAGCAAATTTTAAGTGTAGATGTGGTAGCATAAACGACGCGCTTGAGTTTCGTAGCAGTAAATTTATGGTCGATTTTTTTACATATTTTTTTTGTATAAACCTTGTTTCTGTTTAAATTTCAGTGAAGAGCAAGTGTTTGAGGCATGCATGCGATGGGTTAAACACAATGTGGAAAAACGAAAAGATTTCCTGCCGGAGCTCCTATCGCTAGTACGTTTACCACTTTTATCGCCATTGTACATCACTGATCGCGTTCGAAATGAAGAACACATTAGGTATTCCATCCAGTGCAGGTAAGAATTTACTTAACTCAAACTACAGTCTCTTGTGAAAATTGGATTGGATTAGTTTATATTTCAGGCATTATTTATAATTAAAAATTACTGAGACGTTCTTTAAGCGGGATAAAATATAATAATAGCACATACCTTATCTCTCAAATGACAGTTGGCTAAGTGATCAAATTAAAAGTGGTGTGCTGTGCATAAATTGAAAAATGAGGAGATCCAAACAGTGAAGTTTCCAATAATCTACTTTAGGATATAAAAACAGTTTGTTAACACGTTTTTTGAGAAAAATATTAATATTGTGGAGTTCTCATATGGAAAGTCACAATAACATGGAAATCTGCAACGATTAGCTGGTCAAGGCAGGTGACTGCTTGAAAAAAGTTATCTCCACAATATTTACAGTTTTCTCCAAAAATTGTTTTAATTTTTAAAGTTACCTTGTTCTTGCTGTTTGTCGTTTACTCGATATTGTTTTTTATTTCATACGTTACGGTCGTGAATAGTTTAACTTTGAAACGGTTTAGAGTATTTTTTTTAATTATTTTATTTATCTACGAACCACGACTCCTACGAGACGATGGAAAGGCCTTTCCATTAATTCGAGGAATTAATTTATTATCATTCAACTTCAACTAAATCTATATTGAGCTTAGCTAAGACGTTGATTGGAATTATTAGTAGTACTGTGGAATTGAGTTATAGGAAACTTAGAGTTTTGTTTTTGCTGCTTTCTGAGTCAATTAATTAGCTTCAATCCTGTATTGTAAAACGTTATTTTAATAATATTCGAGGCTATTTTTTACAGGGATTTAGTAGATGAGGCTTTAACATTCCATCTTATACCTGAAAGAAGACCACTCATCCAGTCATTCCGAACAGAACCAAGGGTGTGTGACATTAAAGGTTACATTTACGTTGTCGGGGGTTTAAATCGGCATGGTAAGTGTGACTGAGTCTCTGACTGTCATGAGATTTTTTTTATTTGATATAAAACATTCATTCATTCGATCGGCCGGACGTACCGCTCGGTCGATCGTTTTACAAGCATTATTTGTTCTTGTCTTTACCTGCAGAAGAACAACGCGACAGAACCGCGATGCGCTAAAAACTCTAATGTGAATGCGGTAAATGGTAAACGCGCGGAAAATGCGCTGGAAATTCGTCGCAATCCATCCCTGGTCGTTTTTTCGCAACTGGTCTAGGGGAATCGTGGCACACTGTTGACGGTTTACTTTTTAGTATATTGAAAATATTCAGGTTTGGGATTCTTAGCTATTCAGTCGAGAGAACGTTCGAGGCCGCAAAAGGAGCGTTACTGTCGTGTTTATGCGATTATGTGGCGTCTTGGCCTAACGCGGCGCGGACGCGTCTAATGCACCACAAACGCAACAACAACGATCTTTTTGCGGGTATTACCTCGAACGTTCTTTCGAGTGAATAGTCTAGAATCTAAAATCTGCATATTTTCAGTGTACCAAAACGTAAACCATGTGTGCCACAATTTCCTTAGATCTTTCTTCGAAAAATCGACTAGGGATGGAATACCATGAATATCTAGCCGGAATCCAGTCTCCTGGACGCCTACTGTGTTCCACGTCCACGAAAAACGATTTCAGTATTCTAATCTCCGATAGTACCTGGCCTTTCCCTCTTGTGCTATTTATTTTTGGCGCATCCACCAACGCAGGGACCACGCTATAATTCCGCCGCTGAGAATACGAGCGAAAGTACAAGAATGTACCACACAACCTATACTGAAATTATGTTAAAAGAGAGGAGGCAGCCGGTGTGTACACATTGAAGAAACTCCAATCAAGAGATTTTGTTTTGTAATGAAGTGTGTATTTATTTTAATCAAGGGTAAATGATGTAATTTGACCCTTGAATATTAAATATGGCCAAGCGCTTTCGACACAAAGTCATCATCAGAGCCGTTGAAAAACACAAAAGTAACAGTTAGCACCCCCGGGGAATGTCGTGCATATGAATGAAATAAAAAGATGGAAACTTACTTGTCGAAACGTAAGCGTACATCCCCAATAGTGGCAAACGGCACATGCCAATCACTAGTGAGACAGTGATGAACACCGAGAAAGAAACTAACAATTAAATGCAACAGAAGTCAAAAATTAAAAATCTTTGTCTGGTCGAAATGTACAGTCAGGCGACCAGTCCAACATTAACCGAATATTCTAGAATTTAAAAACCAACTGAAATATCTAAGAAAACGAAATACGAACGAAAATTGGATGTGCTCAGGTTCCTTGCTGCCAGGAACAATTATTCACCCTCTACCTTCCTTAATATCGATGGTCAGGAAGAGGCTGATAGTTGCCGAGGCTTCAGGTGGACTTTTTGACTCCACTGGTCCCAGTTCCTATTTTAACTGGGCTCGACTTCACACAGTGTTTCTTGGTGCATTTCAAAGGTCTTGAGCATTTTCATATTACATTAAGGTCTAACAGCAGCTTGGCAAGTGTTTGATGTCGGAATAAGGATGTCATTGGCACGTTGGACAGGAGCGGAATATCGAGCGGACCGAAGTGTGTCTTATGTTGGCAAGACAATCAGAAAATTGGGGACCCGAGTTAAGGAGCATCTAAGGTGCCCCGACAAATCAAATTTTGGACATCATGTGCCGTTTTCTGGGCATATTTTTACACCTGAAGTCAATGCAAAGATTTTGCACAACGTCCATATTTAAGGAGCCCGCTAGAGTTGTCCCTTCAGTCATTACTTAATTTAATTTTCAGTTCAGTTAATCTTTCAATATTAGTCTCCTCTAAGTTTTAATTTTGAAAAATTGTTGAGAAATTTAAGTTTTCAGTTTACCTCTTTCGGCCTTCTCTGTTTTACCATAATAATCTGTCAGTTTAATTTTAATTTTCATTAATCGGGTCGTGTTGAGTGTGTGACTATTAATTGCTGTTTTGTCATTCTTGAAGTTGTTTAATTCAATTATCCTCGCTATGCCAGGAATCAACATTTTACACATACCGTGAAGAATCTGCAATACCTTTTTCGTTCGTCTAAGATAATTTAGTTGTTTTTAGTGTTTTTATAATTCTGGAATATTCGCTGAGTGTTGGTGCCCTCACTCGTCATTTACCCTTGATAAAAATACACACTTCATTACAAAGCAAAATATTTGAATTGAATATTAAAAGAACCTGTTAATATAGGCTTAATTTTGCAGTCTTTATACTACTATTAGTATTTTAAACGGTTAGTTGTTTTATTGTGTTTGTAAATGTGGCGGTAGATTGTAGGTAAAATAAAGCGGGATTGTCTATTTTGTTTTGTGAAACAAACGGAACTCAATATGATCTAGTTAGCTGTTATTATGTTTTGTTTGCATTTGGTGGATTCGTTCGGCTATTCTTGTCATGTTTTTTGATCGTATCGTTGATTTCTTGAATTGTGCGTTAGGTTTTTCAATACATTATATTTTATATTGTCTTTTACAAATGGTAATATCCATTATTGAATAATTTAGGTGATTCCTTGTCCACTGTGGAATACTACGATCCAAAGACCGAACAGTGGACAATGGCCCCCCAAATGTCAATGATGAGATCTCGATTGGGCGTAGCTGTGATAAACCATAAGTTGTATGCTTTTGGCGGGTATAACGGCCGAGATAGACTGTCTAGTGTGGAGGTATACGATGCTTTACAGAAAAAATGGACCACAGTAACACCAATGATTTGCAAGAGAAGGTACTGGTAAAATTTTACTAAGTTACTGTATTAGGAGACTAATTAATGTTTAAAAAATCTTATTTTATAATTTTTTCTTAGTGCTTTAGGTGCGACGGCATTAGGTGATGTAATCTACGTTTGCGGAGGTTATGACGGCGTAACGTCGTTAAATTCTATCGAAAGGTATCATCCAAGTACAAATTCGTGGTGTTCATTAGCACCTATGAACAAATCTAGAAGCGCTGGCGCTGTTATTGCGTGTCAAGGTAAGTAATCAGTTTAATTTTTACAGTTGTACACCTTGAGGAAAAGAGTTATTCATAAAATTGTGAATTTTGCTTAAACCACTTTTTTGGGAATGGAACAATCACGTTCATATAAATATTTGAGAAAAAAGTGTTAACTGTGGATCTAGACTTTTGTTGTCAAACATCATACAATTTGAAAATATTTCATTTATAGTTTTTAAATCATGCTCCTCAAAACTTAAAATGGATGAGATAAGACAAAGAGTTGAGGAGACTAAAATCGTCAAATATTCAACATAATGAACCAGTGTATTGCAAACAAATTAATTTTTCTGACGTGATTGCGGAAAGGATATGTTTAAGGGCGATTCTACATGCTAAAATAATGGTAGTCGGTCATGTAACAAAAATTCGAAATCTGAATATTACAGAAATATAAGTGGCAGCTAATCAAATATTTAACTGAACCATTTCAATTTAAATAATTCAATAATTGAACAGTAATACAATACTTACTATAAATTGTCAAAATTGGCACATTGTAAAACTAGTCGACTTGATTTGCTGCTATTCCAATTAAATACAAGGCCACTGGGTTGAAGTAATAAAAACTTTATTGTTGATTTGCTCCTAAACGAAGAGGTTTTTCGAGTCGTATGGAGAGCATTTTTTGTCTAGTATTTTCTAATCTTGGATCTAAATTTGGATTACAGGTATAATGACATCTAGTAGAAAAGTTAAAGTAAAAACAATTTTTAATCAGAAAGGTAGACATCACTATGACATAACTGTGTACCGGTTTTGAATTTGATGCGAGAAGAAATGTCCACAATAGGTCAAAAATGAAAAGAAACAAATTAGTTTGATGCGCTGTTTTTATTTTCTTTTTTTTTCTACCATTATTTTCGCATGTAGAATCACCCTTAAAAATTTCCTCACGCATTTTCCGAGCATCCTGTATATCATATCCTACATTGTTTCATTGACTTTCCAGACAATGATGACCAAGAAATTAAATTTTTTGAAACCCGTAAGTGTTAACGTTACGAGCTGCTACCATACTGCAGGAATGATTTTTATTGAATGTGCAAATAGGGAATATTGAATAAAATTGACTAAATTAATGACCATGACGTTTTTGGATGTAAAATATGCTCTTAAAGCCTCGCAGGTAAAAACCATCAAATCACAAGATAATAACTCATACAAATGAGTGATACATATACAACGTGAGCAGGAAAAATAAAAGTCCCTTGAATTTTTTTAACCACGATGAATATTTTCGGAAAACTCTTAGACCTATCGATTTAACTTGGTGGATTGCTTAAACTTGCGATTTCGGTGGTGCGACTGCGTCTCGCTGCTGATTGCAAATTACTCCTTTAATGTACTTTGCACATCTTCTGGTTTCGAGTCCAGACAAAAACTTATACCATTTTCATATCCGTTGAATGTTCTCTATCACCATGCAGCCGGAAATTGCTCCAGTCTTCACACTCAAGGGACACACCCTGTAGTTGAACCGATTTGTGAAAGTATGTATTTATTTTAAGAGACATAAATACACACAGAGAGCACAGTTAGAATAAAAAAGAAGAGTGCAATAGAAAAAACTTGAACTTATTTACTTGTGGATTAATATTATAACCCTCCAGATCTTGTCAAATTTGGGAAAATTGCTTTAAATTTTAATGTTTTTAAGCCAACTTTTCCTTCGCACATATCGGAAATTTAAGGAAATTTGTTCCAGGTCTTCCTGTCTCCTTCGCGATAAGTGATAGAACAAAATCAAACTGATCAGGATTCAACAGCAATAATTCTCTGAACTTGTTCTCGTCTAGGTTTAAACATGTATAAGAAGATTGAAATAACCTTCTTCTGGACGACTTTGGAATATAGCATGTGTCTCATTTTTTTTTTGTTCTGAAGTCGTTTTTTAACCAATTGCTCTTCTTTTAACTCCTCTTCTTTTAACAAAATAAGGGTAAAACGTTCAACGTCGTCTAGCTTTTGAGCACTTTTGCTCAAAGATATCTCACGAACTAATATCTTGGGGTTGTTCAGAGAAGATCTGTTGCGGCTATAGACGCATCACCCAAACACCGAGTCAAAGTCGCCGATCTCACCACCGAAACCGCACCCTTAGAAGTCGGGGCACACGTTCACTTAATATAAATTTTAAAAATTTGATGGGTCCTAACGGTTTTTGAAATAGACGTGGTTAAAAATGACTAAGTCCCATTTTTTTTCGCGCACCCTGTATATTCCCAACAAATCTTGCAAAGTGATTTATATAACATATAAGATTATTACAGGTTACATATATGCGCTTGGTGGGCATGATGGATTATCAATTTTCGATTCTGTAGAGAGATATAATCCAACTACTAACACCTGGATTGAGGCTCCACCGATGCTCACAAAAAGGTAAGTAGTAAATAATGTTACTGTTAAAATATATATTTGGTATGGATTATTTTCAAAGATTTATTGGAACGATTAGCTAGTCATCCTGAACATAACAAAATACAAATATTTAAATGTTTCTCAATTATTTCCTCTTGAAAGGAACCTTCAGTTTAAAGAACAGGTCTCTATTCATACTTACTGTGTGTAAACGCGCGAATTTATTGTAATTTTTTAATTACAGATGTCGTTTGGGAGTTGCCGTTTTAGGAGGTAAACTTTATGCATGTGGCGGATATGATGGAAGTTCGTTTTTGCGAACTGTGGAAATGTTTTGCCCTAGAGCGAACAAGTAAGTTACTTTGTCTAGATTACAGTAGTGTACTATCAATTAACCCTGTTTCGTTAAATCATTTATTTTAAATGTAATACTCCAGGTATCCAAGGCGGCTTTTTTTACTTTTTACCAATTTTACTCTGGTGTGCGCGAGTAATTTTTATTATTTTATGTTAGGTGGACGTATGTCGCCCCAATGAATGCACAGCGAAGTCGTGTGGCTTTAACGGCCAATATGGGTAAGTTGTGGGCAGTGGGAGGTTATGATGGTATTACCAACCTTATAACGGTGGAAATTTATGATCCAAAGAAGGATACATGGGAATATGCGCCGGATATGATAGCACATGAGGGTGGGGTAGGTTTAGGGGTAATATCAGTTCCTTGCGAAAAAACCGAGGACTGAGCCGTGTGATTTTTAATATAGATATATATGTGCTAAAAAGTAATTTCGTCTAAGTTTAACTTAGTCAGAAAACATTGAAGCTAATTAGCGAAAAACAGTTATTATTAAAGTCGGTTTTTTAACTTAACATTTAATTTATTGTCACAAGAATGAAGATTTGCAAGAGTAACATGATTCTATATTGTTGACTGATAAATGCAGTCTAGTTAATTTAACATTAAATTATATTGAAAGCATTTCTGAACAACTTGGTTCTGCCGACTTAATATTTGTTAAATTTAATAATTCCGCCTCAGTTGGAAACAATGTTAATGTCATCCCTTCTGTCATTGAGAGAGGGTGATGACACACGTTTTCTGGCAACCATTGCATGAATATTACAGTCCACGAAGTATCGTGCTTCAGTAGAAGCTTTTACCTATTATAGTTTTACGATCGCTATTTGGTCATCCATTCGTGAGTTCAAAGTCCAGACGCCCCCTAGTGGCTAAAATTATAACTACAAGTTAAGTAGTAATTTGACACTTTTTAGCAATTTGACACTAGCAATTTGACATTTGACACTTGTTTTGGTGACATTGGTGTTTACATCTGATTGTGTTTTGTTCTAATCAACTTTTGCAAGATTTTAAAGAAATGTAAACAGATGTGAAGTATTGTTTTATGTTATAAATGTCATCAATCTCGTCGTCTGTCACTCGACAACGAGTAATTTGACGTTTCGCGGCGCAACCATCGGTCGTTGAACTCACGAATACAATTAGCAGCAAAAGCAACTGATTGAGTCAAGCAATTGCTAGTTTACAAACATTTTGATTTTGTTGTAATTTCTAGTTGATTGTGTTTGAAATGGCGCTTTGAACTCTATGAAGAAAATATTTAGACAGAAATTACGATGTTGTTTTGTAAAATGCATGTTTAATTTTTGTTGCCTTTCGGCATTAACTCTATTAATTGTTTAATAATAAGATGGATGTCACGCAATTAGAGCAGGAATTTCTTATTTAAATAACGGAGACAAAGATAAGTCGCGAAACACTCTCAAAGAACAACATATAATAAAAACCAAGTCTAATTCCAACTAGAATGGAAGCAAGGATGTGCTTATTCCTGAAGAAAATAAACCGTTCATTGATAATGTACACAACTCGAAGCCTTTCTTGCTTCAAATGAATCTTGGTTGCAGCTTCCAAAATGTAACTCATTCTTGAGGCGACTTCTGCATCAGACAAATAAAGTTTCGTAATAAAATTCAACTTCGCGCGCATTCTGTTTGCCACTAAATTAAAATCTAAAGATGAAAGAGAAGAAATCGAACGGAATTTTTTTGAAAAACTAAAATCCGAACTAGATGATTATATTGGATTCAGTCAAGTCATTAGGGTGATTGTACAGTTGAAAAAAATTATAGTAGGGCATAATTTCTTATTGAACTTTCTTCACACAATTGACAAGTTTTTGACTCCATTTCCACACGATTATTTGAATTTTAAGGACGTGGTTAAGTCGTTATTCCCAGCAGTATATGACAAAGACATTGGTAGTTCAGAACACTTTAAATCGATAATATAATCTACATTATTACGGCAATTACTTCACACTTACAACACACAAAGTTCATCTTCTTGTGTGCGATCGAGGCAGGTGGCCAAGGATATGATGTAAATGGTAGCAAAGAACAAGAGGCTGGGGACGACTCTTTTATAACAGGCCTTAGCTTTTTGGCGATGTGGAAACATTTAGGCGAACAACATAATTTGACTTTGACTTAGTGACCTGATCCGGCTCGAAGAATCAAAATGTTTGACTCAATCAGTTGTTTTGCTGCTAATTGTATGGATGACCAAATAGTGATCGTTGTAATGAAACTAGATAAAAGCTTGAGTATCGTACCCACTCAATAAACTGAGGCGGAAATATTTAATTTACCAATATTTCTGACTTCTATCACTTTAAAAAGTATTCGGTTCTTATTGGAACTATTTTAGTATTTACATAAGCACCAAACTTATTTTTAATTCGTTCAAATTATCTACATATTTTTATGCGTAAAATAGTAACTGCAAATTGTTCCTTATTATAATATTTGTAAATTACCACATATTGTATGCACATTATTAAATCCAACATTATTCGAATTTAGGATTAATTGTGCAATATTAAAAGCTTGCTAGTCAATTAAGCTTATTGAGCATACGAGTTTAAAGACTGTAAATTTGCCATTTTTGTTTGTAATATTTAAATTTGCATGGTTTCGTTCTCGAAGAGTTGTCCTATTGTGTATTTTACAAGTGTATATATTGAATTGAGAGAGGTATCAAGTATCAATATCAGCAGAAATTATTTCTTTTTCCTATAACGAGCTATCAAAAACATACATCGATTAGGAACTTGCTTTAAATTTATTTTTCTTGGTGGTATTGTAATTGGTGTTTACTTCGTACCTACACGAAGCAAATGTTTGTATTGCGTTTACAAACATTTTGTGCAATTGAGAGGATCTACTGTATATATTGTTTTTTCCTTTTTTTCTATTATATATAGGTACCTTTTGGTTACGTGGTAATAAGGTTACTTATGACTATAGTCTAATGAATAACTGCCGATAATGATTCATACACCTTTTAGGATAAAAATTAAAAATATTATAATAATTAAATTACATAAAAAAATTACATTATTGTATATATTTACTGATTACTCATGATTCTCAATTAATGTCGGTAGTTTTCTACTTTAAATGTGTGTTTGATTTATATGCAGTTAGCAATAACAAAACGTTACTGAGTGCATCATACAAATCTAACTTTACGATGTAAAATAGACATGGTTTGAGTTTCTCAAAATTCTTGCTGATACGGATACTTGAAAGTAAGATGATGTATTTAAAACACACATACCATAATTAAATGCTTATTTTTAATAAATTATTTTCACCATTTTATTTCGAACACCAAAACAGGTGAGTCATATTGATACCACATACACACACTCATGAAGCAGTCAGCATTCAATTAATTGCAAACTGATCGTACGAAACCGCTTTTATCCTCGTTTGAATCTAAATGTCTGTACTATAACTATCGGCCGACGGATTTTGAACCAAGTTGTGGTATATTCAGTTGTGCGTAGTCAATATGAATGTAGAAGTAACAAAGCCGTAGCTTTACTAAACTTATATTGAGCCACGCAGATATTAACATGATTTGTTTAAAATTGTGAAGCTGAGTTTAAAGGTGGAAAGGAAACATCAAAGTAAAATACAAGCACATGATACAAATGTATTAAAAATGGATAAAAATTGACTTGTGATTCAACAACTAGTTACTTTTCCAAAGTTACTTTGGTAAGTTTTTAAACAAAAATAAATTCATGAAGGTACCATTCCTCTGGTTCTTTTCCACTGAGCCCCACCTTTTCTATTGTGGTTAGCCCGGCTAGATTTATTGGCAGCTTTTTTCTGTCTATTGAGAAGCGTGTTTTTATCCTGTCCTTGTCCCTTCGGTTTACCTAAATTTAAAAAAACCGATGGATAGTGCTCGAAAAGCAACATTTGCGTTTGAATAACTTACCAACAACGTCCCCTTTTGGTTTTAATTGTGAAGTGCTACCACTGGCCCCTGCTTGTCCAGTTCTATATCTAGCTTCTCGTCTTGCCCTTATTACAGCCGGGTCCTCACAGAAGTTAAATCTATTTCGGTCCGCCGAATGTTCATTAGTTTCCTCCTAAAGGTATGGAATATTAAGGAAGCCCTTTTTTACTTCTGCTTCTACTCCCTTACCTCTGATTCTTCGTCTTCGCTCTCGGATTCTTTGCGTCTGCCCTGTCTATTAGGATTAAAAGCCTGCAACTCCTCTCCTACCGGATTATCTGCTACCGGTATTGCAACATCGTCGTTAAACCGATCATCATATTCATCATCATACATGTGTTCGTAGTTGTATTGGCTGAAGAATTAATTATCATAAAAGTTTACATTTAGACGTTTAAATTTTAATTTCTTACATTCCTTCCAGCACCAGATTCTTGATTGCTTTGATATCAGTTTTATCATTTAATAGTTTTAGTGCATCGTCGTATTCAGGTTTTTTGCCTAACGAATTGTATTTAGATTATAGAGTTGAAAAAACACCGCACAATTGTTTTCACCTGTATAAGCCAGGACGGGTTTCTCCGGTTCGGGCTCTGCCGGTATTCTAATTCCATCAAACGGAATTTCTGATAAATGCGGAGGTAAATTGTCTTCCAAAATTGCATTTATGACATCGGTTGTATTAAAATTATATGATTCAAGACACTGCAACACAAAACCTAAAAGATATTTTTTAGTTAAGCAAACTTCAACCATTAAGTACACTTATTGAAATTAATAAGTCAACGTATCACAAGCAGGTAATGATAAACGGTGCAAATGCTTTGAATACACCAATGCATATTGCGTCTACAGCACATACCATCTCCTAAATGTGGAAACATATCCATAATACTTTGAATTTTTTGATCAATTTCACTCTCGGGTAGTTCTGTGAGGCCTCTTGAAGGACCAGGTTGAGCAATATCCTCTTCTGGCTCTTCTGGAACTACCGGGATGAATTCTTTGAACACACTTTCTATAGTTTTCTTCTTTAATTCGGTTAGTTCTTGCAATTTTTTATTCCGCGGTAATTTTATTATGCATGAAACAATGAAATCGGTCTGAGTGGAATCACTGAATATTTATTTAAGGAATAGCTAAAAGCGTTCACATTGATAGTTTCTTAAAAAAGGATACATTTCGCAACAACTCTCAAACATTTCGTTCTGAGATGCGACATTGTGTGCGGCATTATAATCACAGATAAAATAATCGTCTTCTAATGCTGTTGTCAACAGTCTTATATAATTCTCTATGATTGGTTCTTGTTTGTCACTGTCACCCCTAAAAATTATTTTTTACTCTATTTTTTGTTCAAGTTTGTTTTCGAACCGCATCCAGTAAATTGCGTGCACTTACGTATGTTTCAGAGCTTCATCCAAACAGTTCGACACAAACAAATGAAATGTTTCAATAAATTCAGTACGCCCCAAGTTAATTTCTTGAATAACCATTTTGAACAGGTTCTCTTGAGTGTGTGCTTCTTCTCTTTCATCTAATAGTTCATATAAATCTCGGTATATATTTACATATATATAGGGAAGCCTAAAATAGTTAAATAAACGTTTCGACCAAATACACACTTATGCAACAAAGTGAACTGTTAGGAAAAGTGTCTTTACTTACCTGAATGGAAAGTTCTTCTGCGTCGCGATTTCTATGCTGGGTTTGAAGAAAGTAAATAATACCTGTGACGTGATAACAGAACACAACAAATAGTTAACAACTGAATAAACCCAAGATAGGCTGAAAATAGCCGGTCTTTTTTCGATGGAAATAGGAACAGCTTCCACCGATTCATCAAATCCACAGACCTGGCCGCCAATCATTTCTAATATCTGAAGTTGCAACAGTGCTAATTGATAAAAATATTCACATCAAAATTATATTATTTTAACAACCTACTGCCAGTAGCCACTGTATTAAAGACCGGTGTCTTCAACTGCGAATAAATTTACCTTCCAGATAATTATTGTTGTGGTAATCAATAGGTTAAAGTAACCCAAAAATAAAATACTGGCCTCTAGAATTTAATAGAATTTTGAACTATTTAATGTTTTTTTTATGCAACACCCCGTTTGTATCTCTTACTTTAATAGTAACTCAAACTAAATAAACTTTACTTACAATAAGGTTTTGCTCTATGAAAAAATCCACTTCTTTAGTAAGATACTCCACTTCGGTAGCATCATTAAAATAGATATCTACTGTTTCATTTACAAATTCTAAATCACTATCTTGATATAAGACAGCTAGAGTTATCACAATGGGAAGATTGATGAGCTTTCGTTCTTTTAATTTGGCCAGTCCAAATGATTGGGACATATATTCTGTCTGAAAATAAAAAATATATACAGGATGATTCACGTTTAATCTTGAAAACTTTAAGAATCGATAGAACAGGTAAGAATGTTATACATATAATGATGATATAAAATGTTCCCTTAATTTGCATCTTTTCGGAGATAGACGTCGATGAAATTAGATTTCGCCCCACTTTTGCTTCAAAGTAGCAAATTTATTTCGGTAAAGTCCTGTCGGTGGATAAAGCGGTTAAACATTATTTTTAACCAATAGCAGTTTACCAATCAAACCCAAACTAACAAAACAAGGATACTTATCCAAATACCTACAAAACGTTTCTACAAAAGTACAAATAAAATACAGATTTGACAAAAGCACGATATCTTTCGCAACTCGACAAACAGCGTGGACGCCATGTCGTCTTGTTATCTTGTGGAATAGTGGAAGCTTCAATCAGTAAAAAGTGGTAGTGATTTTCTTTAAGGTAAGCATCTTGCTAAGCATAATATTTGCACTTGGATAATTACAAATAATGATACCAAGCAAATGACGTTTTAAGTGTTAGGAGATAAAGATGAAAATAAAAAATCAACAGGAGCGGATTGGTGATGAAAAATAAAATAAATCTGTCTGTAATCAAGATATATACAAAAAAAAACAATACAGGGTGTCCCACCGGGAACCGCCGCGATCGATATCTGACAAACTGTAATTACGAGAAATTTGAAAATTGAACAGTATGCCGAAGTCATTGGGGGCAAGCGATCTAAAATATTTTCAAAATGGCCACACTTTCGGTTATACCGGAAGTAGATATCAACTTTCTTATTTTAAATAGAACACCCTATATATTATTACATTTTAAAATTCTACTCCAAATTCTAAATATATTTCATGTGTAATATCCTATACCCAAGTCTAACTGTTTTTGATATTTAGAAATGTTTTCCGGGCTTTGAAGCCGTGGTCCATGGAAATTTATTCCTGACGTTTCGTCCACAACTGCGGTGGACATTATCAAAGGCGATGAGGCAGTGGGCGAAGTGATCTCCCGTGCTTATCGACTAAGACTGATTCAACTACTGCAGAACTCATGCGTGGGGAGTAGGCGGGGCTTCAAATGTATATCAAATGTTTTGGCGCACACCCTGTTTGCCGCAAAACGCGCTTCCAATCTGGATTGAGTGCCGTAATTTCTTTTCTGTTAAAGTTGTTTTGGTGTTTAAATATTTCGATGGCCTCT